TTGGTCCCGCCTCTCCACTGTCAATCAACTGGTGTACAGGTTCCTGAGCCTACAAATGTGTCCGGGAAGGTGTGCAACAGGAGAAGCGAGGACTGCTATTGTGGTGTTTACCTGGAAGAAGTCCTCTCAGCCCCCGCCACACACGAAGGGTCTCTGCCCACAAATCTTAGGAACAGTCGCTCGCAAATGATGATGAAATGAGATTCAGGAGCTGTCGACGGAGGAGGAGGAGAGTTGTGGGTAAGATGTAATGACTTTCAAGACACACCAACGCAAGCACTGCTCGGCTTAGACTCGGCTATAAGTATCTCTGGGAACTTGTATTTACCTGCTGGTGTAGACTTGACCAAATGTAAACTGTTAATATAATTATTTACACACTCTTCCGTCGCTGTGTGATGGAGTGCGAATAGATACGTGAATTTAGAGACAGTTCTATAACAAGTGTTCAAGATATGTGTAAGCATTTCATTCAAAATAAGTCAAAATGAATGAGTCAAAAACTAAATAATAAAGTGAACTAACTGCCAACACAGGCTGGTAAGAGTTTAAGCGTTTGACAACAAGCTGCATTGGATAAGGATAGCGTTAAGCGGAGGTGTTTCACAGGAACTTAGAGCTCTTAAACGCATAGAGTTCCTTACTGCCATGGACCAGTAGACCCATGGTAGAGTTCCTTATTGTCATGGTCCAGTAGACCCATGGTAGAGTTCCTTACTGCCATGGACCAGTAGACCCATGGTAGAGTTCCTTACTGCCATGGACCAGTAGACCCATGGTAGAGTTCCTTATTGTCATGGTCCAGTAGACCCATGGTAGAGTTCCTTACAGCCATGGACCAGTAGACCCATGGTAGAGTTCCTTACAGCCATGGACCAGTAGACCCATGGTAGAGTTCCTTATTGTCATGGTCCAGTAGACCCATGGTAGAGTTCCTTACAGCCATGGACCAGTAGACCCATGGTAGAGTTCCTTACAGCCATGGACCAGTAGACCCATGGTAGAGTTCCTTATTGTCATGGTCCAGTAGACCCATGGTAGAGTTCCTTACAGCCATGGACCAGTAGACCCATGGTAGAGTTCCTTATTGTCATGGTCCAGTAGACCCATGGTAGAGTTCCTTACAGCCATGGACCAGTAGACCCATGGTAGAGTTCCTTACAGCCATGGACCAGTAGACCCATGGTAGAGTTCCTTATTGTCATGGTCCAGTAGACCCATGGTAGAGTTCCTTACAGCCATGGACCAGTAGACCCATGGTAGAGTTCCTTACAGCCATGGACCAGTAGACCCATGGTAGAGTTCCTTATTGTCATGGTCCAGTAGACCCATGGTAGAGTTCCTTACTGTCATGGACCAGTAGACCCATGGTAGAGTTCCTTACTGCCATGGACCAGTAGACCTATGGTAGAGTTCCTTACTGCCATGGACCAGTAGACCTATGGTAGAGTTCCTTACTGTCATGGACCAGTAGCCGTACTGTAATGTTCATTTAGTGATATTAAACACTTGCTGAAGGAGATTACTACAGTTTTGGACATGTCAAAGGACGCTATCACGTGCTGAACGACGGTGTTGTCGTGGACCAACCCGTCCTCTTAAAATTACGTCGCTTTTCGCCCTTATGGCCAAAAATGGACGTAATTTGAAATGAAATCGGCTCACGAAAGTGATGTACTGTCCCGTTTTCTGTTTGGAGTCCTCCGGCTTATTCGGGTAGGTAATGAGAGGAAACTTTAATTAACGGTTTTCATGACGCTTTGAAACCTTAGGAGAAATGCCTGCCCTCCTAACCTACCAGAGGACCCTTAACTTCCTGTTTTGGGAAAAAAATATCAAAATTTATTTTCAATGAACAAATCCACAAGGGATTTTGAACGTACGTCCGAGAGCATCCCAGACGCTGCCTTAATCGACTGAGCTACGACATGGTCAAAAGAATTGCAACCAGAAGTTCTAGAAACAACCCGACGTAGGTTCGAATCCTCGTCACAGCCCTTGTGGATTTGTTCATTTGATGCATCACGCTATTGTGATTTCTGTGTGTAATTTATTTTCAATGATTTTAAAATGTCAAATTACGTCCATTTTCGGGCATACGGCTAAATTCAGACGTAATTTGTAAGAAGATACGTTGTATGTGTAGCAGGAGTGTGTTGAAGAGCTTTGGGCTTTTGATGTTGATTGAGTTTATCTATTGAACGTCTGCATTTCAATGGGGCTATTTTGCACGTCCTGCCATGAATACTGGCATAATACAGAATATTTTCAGAGTTTCAGAATATTTTTTTAGTGTTTCAAAATACAGAGTTTTCAGAATACATGACAACAGGATACAGGTTTCATGCGATGTTATTTCCATGTGCAGATTTGGAACCAGCATCACTGACATTTTCCACGTGTAACTTATTATGAATCTCTCGTCTACGCTCCAGAGAATTCAGATTTCTAACTTTTAGTCGGTGCCAACAAGAATAATAATAATGAATGGTGTCACGTGTGTGATACACAACAGGGCCTCGTCTTGGAATACATTGTGTGTATTTTAGGTAGGTGTGTATTCACTCACCTACCTAATTGTACTCACCAAATTGTGCTTGCGGGAGTTGAACTTCGACTCTTTGGTCCCAACTTTTAACTGCCAATTAACTGGTGTACAGATTCCTAAGCCTACTGAGCTCTATCATATCTATATTTGAAACTGTGTATGGAGTCAGCCTCCACCACATCACTGCCTAACGCATTCCATCTGTTAACTATTCTGACACTGGCAAAAGTTCTTTCTAACGTCCCTGTGGCTCATTTGGGTACTCAGTCTCCAACTGTGTCCCCTTGTTCGCGTACCTCCGGTGTTAAATAATTTATCTTTATATACTCTGTCGATTCCTCTTATAATTTTGTAGGAAGTGAGCATGTCTTCCCTAGCTCTCCTGTCTTCCAGCGACGTGAGATGCATTTCACGCATTTTCTTGTAACTTTTGCCTCTTAGTACTGGGACTAGCCTAGTGGCATACCTCTGAATTTTTTCCAGCTTCGTCTTGTGCTTTACAAGGTACGGGTTCCATGCTGGGGTCCCATACTCCAGGATTGGTCTTACATATGTGTTATACAAGGTTCTGAATGATTCCTTACACAGGTTCCTGAAGGCAGTTTTGATGTTAGCCAGCCTCGCATATGCCGCAGACGTAATTCTTTTGAACGCATGTGCGTGTGTGTATGCGTGTTTGCGTGTGTGTATGCGTGTGCGTGTTTGCGTGTGCGTGTTTGCGTGTGTGTGTCGTCTCAACATTCTTTGTTTTTGTGCAGTGACTTTTATTATCATAATTACATGTAAAATTTTACATTGAGTTAGTTTCAGAAACTTTTCTGTTTAACCCATTCCACTTATTGGAAGCTCTTACACTGAAGAAGTTCTCTAGTTTACATCTGAGGACTCTAATAACATCTTGTTCTGTTTCTCGTACCTTTCAACAATGCTCCTTTATTTATTTATTTATTTATTTATTTATTTATTTATTTAGAATTTTATATATCACGATCATGCCCTCACTATCTCGCCTTTTCTCTAGTGTTGTGAAGTTCAGGTCCCCCCAGTTGGTCCTTGTAATTCAAGTCCTTCAGCTCAGGAACAAGTTTTGTTGCATATCTTTAAACTACTTCGCACTTTATCACGTGAGGGTTCCATGCTGGGGCTACATACATTGAAGGGGAAGTCTTCACATGGGTGGTATATAGGGCTCAAGGTGGCTACTTCGTCAAAATATCTGAAGGCCACATGGACGCTGGCGCCAGTTTGGCATTAGCCGCTGACGTTATTCTATTAAATCGTGCTTCTTGCATTTGAGTTATGGCATCAAGAGTTAACTCAAGAGGCAACCCGTCCTCTTAAAAATAACGTCACTTTTCGCTCGTATGCGCCGCTATGGCCAAATTTGGACGTAATTTGAAATGAAATCGACTCACAAAATTGACGTTCTGTTCCGTTTTCTGTTTGAGTCGTCCGGCTTACTCGGCTAGCTTAGAAAAGGATTCTATCCATTAACGTTTTACATAACGTTTTGAAACTTTATGAGAATTTCCTGCCCACCTAACCTCTCAGAGGACCCTTAACTTACTGTTGTTGAAAAAAAAAATCCCAAATTTATTTTAATTTTTTTTCATTTTCAAATTACGTCCATATTCGGCCATACGGCCAAAAGCGACGTTCTTTTTAAGAGGATAGGTTGCGCAGTCCAGGGCGTTCTCCCGTTTCTGATACCAGAATCTGTCTTCCCTGACCGTGCAAGTGGTTGGGCACTATTCCTTCCCCTCGTCTCATCCCAAATCCTTATCCTGACCCCTTCCAAGTGCTATATATAGTCATAGTGGCTTGGCCCTTTCCACCTTGATAGTTCCCTACCCTTCCCTTCATCCTGTACTGTTATACAGGTCACTTGAGCCCTGATACACAAGCCTGCTTTTGTAGCTTAAAGTTTCTTTTGTGTGGGACGGTATTAAATGCTTTTTAACAAACAAGAAGTATGCAGTATGTTGACCAGACCACACACATTAAAAGGTGAAGGGACGACGACGTTTCGGTCCGTCCTGGACCATTCTCAAGTCTTCTAGTGTGTGGTCTGGTCAACTTACTTTAGCCACGTTATTGTGACTCATCGCCTGCAAGTATGTAGTATGCTCATCCCTTTCGTATTTATGTCTTATTGTAGGGCTTTAAGTGTTCTAGCGGGATTTTTCTCGATGAAATTGGGAGGGAAAAGCTTAAGTTCACGAGCGCTCTTTGCATCAGTCTTTAGCATCTTGCAGGAGGGCGGCGGCTTGTTAGTGATTTTGATGTTGACCAGACCACACACTAGAGGGTGAAGGGACGACGACGTTTCGGTCCGTCCTGGACCATTCTCAAGTCGATTGTGATACTGGTTAGTGATACTGGTCTGTAGCGTAGCGGTCCCTGTCTTCACCCTCTCTTGTGTAGTGGCAATATATTACCCGTTCCTCAACAGTCCGGAGGCTCGATAGTTTCCAGAGATGAATACTATAGCAAGTGGCGTCTTCTGGAGCGTTACCACTGTGGTGGTGGACAGTGGAAGGGGTCACCATCATCCCTGGAGCGTTACCACTGTGGTGGTGGACAGTGGAAGGGGTCACCATCATCCCTGGAGCGTTACCACTGTGGTGGTGGACAGTGGAAGGGGTCACCATCATCCCTGGAGCGTTACCACTGTGGTGGTGGACAGTGGAAGGGGTCACCATTACCCCTGGAGCGTTACCACTGTGGTGGTGGACAGTGGAAGGGGTCACCATCATCCCTGGAGCGTTACCACTGTGGTGGTGGACAGTGGAAGGGGTCACCCTCATCCCTGGAGCGTTACCACTGTGGTGGTGGACAGTGGAAGGGGTCACCATTATCCCTGGAGCGTTACCACTGTGGTGGTGGACAGTGGAAGGGGTCACCATTACCCCTGGAGCGTTACCACTGTGGTGGTGGACAGTGGAAGGGGTCACCATTACCCCTGGAGCGTTACCACTGTGGTGGTGGACAGTGGAAGGGGTCACCATCATCCCTGGAGCGTTACCACTGTGGTGGTGGACAGTGGAAGGGGTCACCATTACCCCTGGAGCGTTACCACTGTGGTAGTGGACAGTGGAAGGGGTCACCATTATCCCAGGAGCGTTACCACTGTGGTGGTGGACAGTGGAAGGGGTCACCATTACCCCTGGAGCGTTACCACTGTGGTAGTGGACAGTGGAAGGGGTCACCATCACCCCTGGAGCGTTACCACTGTGGTGGTGGACAGTGGAAGGGGTCACCATCTTCCCTGGAGCGTTACCACTGTGGTAGTGGACAGTGGAAGGGGTCACCATCACCCCTGGAGCGTTACCACTGTGGTGGTGGACAGTGGAAGGGGTCACCATTACCCGTGGAGCGTTACCACTGTGGTAGTGGACAGTGGAAGGGGTCACCATCACCCCTGGAGCGTTACCACTGTGGTGGTGGACAGTGGAAGGGGTCACCATCATCCCTGGAGCGTTACCACTGTGGTAGTGGACAGTGGAAGGGGTCACCATCACCCCTGGAGCGTTACCACTGTGGTGGTGGACAGTGGAAGGGGTCACCATCATCCCTGGAGCGTTACCACTCTATAAAATCGTCGTGAAAGGCCAGGAAAAAGGGCCATTAGGATAGTGTGGCCATAAATACCCGAGTCTCGTGCGGGGTGCCAGACACCCGCCCCCCATCAGACGTGACCTGAGTAGTGGTGGTGCCTCACCCCACCCTCACCTCTCGTCTCCTGACCCGCCCCCCCTCACCCAATGCTGACCCCCCACCCCCACCCCAAGCCACCACCCAATGCTGACCCCCCCCCCCCCCAGCCACCACCCAATGCTGACTCCCCCCCACCCCAAGCCACCACCCAATGCTGACCCCCCCCAGCCACCACCCAATGCTGACACCCCCCCCCCCCCCCAAGCCACCACCCAATGCTGACCCCCCCCCCACCCCAAGCCACCACCCAATGCTGACACCCCCCCCCCCCAGCCACCACCACCACCCAAAGTCTTCTCTTTTTCCTGAATTCGGACGACATTGGTTCACTTCTAAAGTATCATCAGTATGTATAAAATTGTATCAGAAGCTGAAGACTATTTGTTAATGCTAACAATGGTAAATATCTCATTGAAGCCGTCCATTCCATCCAGCGGCCGACCCCAGACACGCATTCATCAACTTTAACATGCTGTTCATTCACAATAGGAATTTTCTCCAATATAAATGAATATTATTATGAATATTACAATATTGTGCATATTTAGGCGTAAGGGTAGGTTAGGTGTTTAGGTTCTGTTGACAATTATTTATGTTTGTAGTACGTGGCGTGAAGCAGGTTAGAGAGTTGGGGTTCGAATTAAGGTCGTCACCGAAGCAGTGTTCGGACGTCATCAGTTATGAATCGGGGGTAAAATATTTTTCCATTCATAAACACAGGACTTTGGCGGGTGCATGGCATGAACATTTGGCTTTGATTGATGAGGACGGCCTGTTGCCCCATCCACCATTGAAGCTCTCCCCCCCCCCCATAGCCCAACCACTTGGGCTGGACGGTAGAACGACGGTCTCGCTTCATGCAGGTCGGCGTTCAATCCCCGACTGTTCACAAGTAGTTGGGCACCATTCCTTTCCCCCGTCCCATCCCAAATCCTAATCCTGATCCCTTCCCAGTGCTATATAGTCGTAATGGCTTGGTGCTTTCCCCTCGATAATTCCTTTCCTTTCTCCCCCCCCCCCTTCCACCATTGTCGTCCTGGGGTCGGCGTTGGTGATTCCTGTACGAGCTTGGCTTTGTGTACAAAACATCAGAATCCAGTTTGTGACTGGCCAATAAACAAATAATTTATTTCTAAGTGTGCATCATCTAGACATGAAAGTCTTACCCAAACGACACTTGTTTGAAACTGTACGAAGATCCTAGCAGAGGTTTGCGTGTCTGGGGGGTTTTGGGGGCGTGGGTTTGCGTGTCTGGGGTGGAGCGTGGAGCGTGCCTCGGGTGAATGGGGAAGAGGGTGTGGGGGTTGCGTGTGCAAGATGGGGTGCGTGTTCAGGGTGGGGGTGGAGCGTGCCTGGGGTGCCACATGACCCCAATGAGAAGGATGTTAGTGCCAATTCACCCCCTCCCCTCACCCCCTCATAACCACCTTAATGCCAAGACCCCTCCGTGACCTGCATTGACCTCTAATATTGGACCTGCTGGGAAGGGGGATATTTGCTCTGATAGGGACTTCCCTCATCTTCCCTATTACAGCTTTCTCAATCGTCTGACAAATTATAGATGTTTTCCTCGTCTGAACTATTATAGATTTCTTCCTCGTCTGACCAATTATAGACTTCGTCTGACCAATCACATTAATATAATGTAGTTCGAGATATATCTTTCAGGGACTTTGTTCACCAAGGAAGCCGGTCGGCCGAGCGGACAGCACGCTGGACTTGTGATCCTGTGGTCCCGGGTTCGATCCCGGGCGCCGGAAAGAAACAATGGGCAGAGTTTCTTTCATCCTATGCCCCTGTTACCTAGCAGTAAAATAGGTACCTGGGTGTTAGTCAGCTATCACGGGCTGCTTCCTGGGGGTGGAGGCCTGGTCGAGGACCGGGCCGCGGGGACACTAAAGCCCCGAAATCATCTCAAGATAACCTCAAGATCTCAAGATAACCTCAAGATCTCAAGATAACCATGTAGAGTCAGCCATTTCGTCATCCTTGCGCAAGAGAGGCGCGCTGTAGCGTCCTCTCGAGTCTAATAATGTTCCCAAGATGATAAACCAATTCTCATTTTCTGCCATAACAAATTCCGGCCAACAACAAATATATTTTCCCAACTTTGATGGCTACGAAAACGGACCTTATAGTGGCTGGAGTACGTGAGGAGAGTTGAGGTGAGGTGTGAATACTGATGAGTTGCCTCTCTCTCCTCTCTCTCTCTCTCCTCTCCCTCGTCATCGTCCAGGGGCCCAGACCCTGCCACCTCCGGCGCCACCGACCCTGCCACCGACTCTGCCACTACTGCCACCGACCGGAGGTGGCGTATCGAAGCACTACTTCCAATCACAAGGAAGTAGTTTGAACAAATATGAATCCCGCGGAAGTGGCGAAACATTGAGAGCAAAACTGGTCAACAAAGTGGACAAAGGGAACTATCAGGGGGGGAAAGTGCCAAGCCATCGCGACTATATAGCACTGGGAAGGGGTCAGGATAAGGATTGGGGATGGGAAGGAATGGTGCACAACCACTTGAAGGGTCGGGGATTGAACGCCGACCTGCATGAAGCGAGACCGACGCTCTACCGTCCAGCCCAAGTGGTTGGACCAAAGTGGACAAAAACACCTCTTGGAAGAGCATATTACAGAACCAATAAGAGTAAGGGGGAGAGGACTGGCCATCAGCACTACACTTGCTCTATACCCAAGACAGATGTCGAGAAAATAGAGCATGAGATGCCACTAGGAGCTAACGACCACTGCATCACCGTGTTAGAGTACATTATAATGTACTCTAACACTCTACAATGTACTCTACAAAGGAGTTGGGTAGACCAAGAAACATGTTCAGGGAGGTAAGTGAATTATCAGGAAGAGAAAACTGATCGACTATTGACTATATAACACTTGGACATGAGAGATGAGATTATTATTATTAACATCTTTATTGACAAAATTAATTGCAATTTTGTCTAATCTGAGGATTTTGATAAAGTCTTATTAAAGTGAGGATAATGCTGGTATTCACTGTCACGCAGGACAGAGGGTCATACATAAGACAATAAGTCTAAACTGTAGGCTGAAGCACATATATATCACGGTTACAATCAATGTTTTAATGTATGGATATGTGAAATCAACTTTCTATTATGCACTGGCACACAAGGGCAGGGATGGGTTCATAAGTGATGCAGCTTAGAAGTAATATAAATAAAAAATTAATAGGGATTTGGGTAGGAAGGAGGACAGTAAGGTTCTCCACAACTTCTTGGATGGTCGGCGATTTGCAAGAAGCGATTGGGCCGCTCTACTGTCATTGTCCAAGTGGCTGGACACATTGAGAAAGACGAGGGACTACAGATGTGGTTGACTTCTGTTAGACATAAATAGTTTCCAACACCTTTTACACCTAAAGGGCAAAACTAATTGATCTGCCTCGGTGTGTTCAGAAGGGAACGGGATAAGCAATTGCAAGGGATACCTGATAAACCAGGATGTAATTCGTGCCTGAGACTGCCAGCAGTGGCATCTAAGAGTCAGGGCCAGATTCACGAAAGCACTTGCGCAAGCACTTACGAACCTGTACATCTTTTCTCAATCTTTGGCGGCTTTGTTTACAATTATTAAACAGCTAATGAGCTCCGAAGCACCAGGAGGCTGTTTATAACAATAACAACAGTTGATTGGCAAGTTTTCACGCTTGTAAACTGTTTAATAAATGTAACCAAAGCCGTCAAAGATTGAGGACTGATGTACACGTTCGTAAGTGCTTGCGTAAGTTCTTTCGTGAATCTGGCCCCTGGTTGACACGACCACCAACCAGGAGGCCTGATCATAGCCTGGGCCGCGGGAATATTGATCCACGGAACCACCTCAAGGTAGGTTATTGACGAGCAGCATCCCTATATTCCGTTTACTGTAAATGCTTGAAGCCAATACGCACACAATTATCTCCTTTCGTACCCAGACAACATACCAAGCCCTATAATAATAATAATAATAATAATAATAATAATAATAAAAATAAAAATAATAATAAAAATAATAATAATAAAAATAATTCATTCACAAAAAGGTTCAATGGGTTGGTGAGAGATACTTGTTTCTGATCAAAAATTTCATTATCGATAAATTAGGGAGAAATCCCCCCTTAATATATAAACATCAGAGGGAAGATATTTATCTCTTCTACTCTCTTTTTCGCAGTCTCTTTCCCTAGCAGAGCTCCAGGGCTTGCGACGCGTCCCTTCAGGGAGTAAGCTATAGACCTATCATCAAGGGGAAGCTACATGAAAACTCCACTAATTCAACGCTAACCCCAAATGAGATATGGCTCACCACGACCAAAATATTGGACATAATAGTGTGAGGTCAGATGAGAGAGTGAGGGTTGAGATGAGAGACGCCTGGAGGTGAGATGAGAAAGAATGGTACAAAGGCTATTATGGGAATCAATTGGGGACGAGGGTGATATAATGAATAATTTGAGATGAGAAAGGAGGTGGGAAGAGAAGGATTGTTTAAGAAAAAGGGAGAGAGAGTGAGAGAGAGAAAGGGGTAAAATGGAAGAGATTTTTTAGGGGACGAGGGTGAGGGATGAGGGTGAAGGATGAGGGCGAGGGTGAGGAATGAGGAGCGCATCCAATTTGTGAGGCGGAATTCCTGTCACTCTGGGGACTGCAGTGTCAGGAGAGCGACGGGCGTGAGAAGCGTCCTAGTGTGACGGGGGTGGTGGTGGCAGGGGTAGTGGTGGTGGCAGGGGTAGTGGTGGTGGCAGGGGTAGTGGTGGTGGCAGGGGTGGTGGTCGTGGCAGGGGTGGTGGTGGTGGCAGGGGTAGTGGTGGTGGCAGGGGTAGTGGTGGTGGCAGGGGTAGTGGTGGTGGCAGGGGTGGTGGTGGTGGCAGGGGTAGTGGTGGTGGCAGGGGTAGTGGTGGTGGCAGGGGTAGTGGTGGTGGCAGGGGTAGTGGTGGTGGTGCTGGTGGCTGAACTGGAGGCTCCTTGTATAGTGATGCTGTTTAAGAGGGTCCTAATATGCTTGGTGATGATGCATGAGGAATTCTACCATTGTTTTTGAAGCAGACAGCTCCTAGTGTGGTCAATAATAGAATGGGTGAAGGTGGTCCTAATGCAGGCGAGGAGTCACAATATCGTGGCTGAAGTATGTTGACCAATCCACACGCTAGAAAATGAAGGGACGACGACGTTTCGGTCCGTCCTGGACCATTCTCAAGTCGATTGTCTTGAGAATGGTCCAGGACGGACCGAAACGTCGTCGTCCCTTCATTTTCTAGTGTGTGGAGTGGTCGTAATGTTTGTGGTTTGAGAGCATACTAGTGCAGTAGGGTTGAAGACTATTCCTGTATACAGCGGAATTGGAACGTATTCCAGTGGTTCCTGTAGGAACCTGTGGGGGCCTCGTAGCCTGGTGGATAGCGCGCAGGATTCGTAATTCTGTGGCGCGGGTTCGATTCCCGAACGAGGCAGAAGCAAATGGGCAAAGTTTCTTTCACCCTGAATGCCCCTGTTACCTAGCAGTAAATAGGTACCTGGGAGTTAGTCAGCTGTCACGGGCTGCTTCCTGGGGGTGGAGGCCTGGTCGAGGACCGGGCCACGGGGACACTAAAGCCCCGAAATCATCTCAAGATAACCTGTGGCTACTTTGGAAGGTTCTACTTCCACAGCCCAAGTTCAGGTTGAGATAATTGATAACTGGATTGACTGGATTGATAAAGCTGTTGATGTTTGTAGGGGTTCGATGACCCTCTGAGCCATCACAGCCAGGCTGATCAAGCCTTTCCTTCAAGAGTTTGCCTAGAGGTTTTGCTAGAGTGCCTAGCAATTTTAAACACCTGAATTATTTGTTTAAATTAGTTTGCTTATGTGATTTTGTCAAAGGATTTGAGTTGTTGGGAGAAAACAAGGTCTTCCTATACTAAACTCAAGTTAACTTGGGTTGTATATCCTAAATCACTATTCTGGGTGGTAATGTAGTTGTATTTTAAGGTTCAGGGGCCAGATTTACGAAGCAGTTACGCAAGCACTTACGAACCTGTACATCTTTTCTCAATCTTTAGCGGCTTTGTTTACAATTATTAAACAGTTAATGAGCTCCGAAGCACCAGGAGGCTGTTTATAACAATAACAACAGTTGATTGGGAAGTTTTCATGCTTGTTTACTGTTTAATAAATGTAACCAAAGCCGTCAAAGATTGAGGAAAGATGGACACGTTCGTAAGTACTTGCGTAACTGCTTAGTGAATCTGGCCCTAGATTTGGTGGATTTGAAGGGATCCTAGTGTGATGGTCGAAGGGCCCTAACGTAGTGAAGAACCACTTGTGTAGTGGAGGAAAAAAAAATCCAGTTTTGTGTTGGTGGTGAATGGAATATATTCTTGTGATGAAGAGATCCTAGAGTGGTGTAGGTAGCCATGTGTGGTGTTGACAGAGGGGGTGCTAGTGTGGTGATGGCCTAGAATTACCAATTTGGACGTATATATCCCTCTCTGGAACCATGAACTCTAGAACTTCACAATATATAGCTGGATTTCCGAGTTGCCTCTTTTGGAACGTGGGACTCCTCTGTTGAATCTTTGAAAAATCTTCTTGAGAATTTGTTATTCATCTGACCGGACTCTAGAAATCCCTGCTAGCAACAGAACACAATGCGAATGGAATTCTGAAATGCCCTGCTTCGGCTGAAACTGTTATTCTGAAACTTTGGAATGAGGGGATAGTTCTGCTATACGGAACAGTCTCTATAATCTCTGGAATGAGGGGATAGTTCTGCTATACGGAACAGTCTCTATAATCTCCCTAATGAGGGCATAGTTCTGTTATATACGGGGCAGTCTCCTTGGCCCTAAAATTATAGATCATCCATGATGTCTTGAGTTGAGATAAAGTGCTTAATGAGTAATGTGATTATCATGAATGTCATTTGAGGTTACTTAAGTGTGTAATATGTGTACCTTACAACAGCAGTAGCACCAGCAACACTACCAAGAGCAGCAGCAGCAGCAGCAGCAGCAGCAACAGCAGCAGCAGCAGCAGCAGCAACAGCAGCAGCAGCAGCAACAGCAGCAGCAGCAGCAGCAGCAGCAGCAGCAGCAACAGCAGCAGCAGCAACAGCAGCAGCAGCAGCAGCAACTGCAGCAGCAGCAGCAGCAGCAACAGCAGCAGAAGCAGCAGAGGAGGAGCCAGAGAGTGTTGAAACTGGCATTAGGATTCTGAGTGAGGATTGGTCAGTGAAGGGAGGGAAAGACCTGGTTGTCGGCTGCTCCCCGCGGCTCCCCTCTCACACGCCCTGCATGCTAACGTCCGCGCCACGCCCCTCCCACGCCCCTCATGCTCCTCCCACGCCCCTCATGCCCCTCCCACGCCCCTCATGCTCCTCCCACGCCCCTCATGCTCCTCCCACGCCCCCTCATGCTTCTCCCACGCCCCCTCATGCTCCTCCCACGCCCCCTCATGCTCCTCTCACGCCCCTCATGCTCCTCCCACTCCCCTCATGCTCCTCCCACGCCCCCTCATGCTCCTCCCACGCCCCTCATGCTCCTCCCTCCCACGCCCCTCATGCTCCTCCCACTCCCCTCATGCTCCTCCCACGCCCCCTCATGCTCCTTCCACGCCCCTCATGCTCCTCCCACGCCCCTCATGCCCCTCCCACGCCCCTCATGCTCCTCCCACGCCCCCTCATGCTCCTCCCACGCCCCTCATGCTCCTCCCTCCCACGCCCCCTCATGCTCCTCCCACGCCCCTCATGCTCCTTCCACTCTCCTCATGCTCCTCCCACGCCCCCTCATGCTCCTCCCACTCCCCTCATGCTCCTCCCACGCCCCTTCATGTTCCTCCCACGCCCCCTCATGCTCCTTCCACTCCCCTCATGCTCCTCCCACGCCCCCTCATGTTCCTCCCACGCCCCTCATGCTCCTCCCTGCCACGCCCCTCATGCTCCTCCCACGCCCCTCATGCTTCTCCCACGCCCCTCCCACGCCCCTCATGCTTCTCCCACGCCCCTCATGCTCCTCCCACGCCCCTCATGCTCCTCCCACGCCTCTCATGTTCCTCCCACGCCCCTCATGCTCCTCCCCCGCCCCTCATGCTCCTCCCACGCCCCTAATGCTCCTCCCACGCCCCTCATGCTCCTCCCACGCCCCTTATGCTCCTCCCACGCCCCTCATGCTCCTCCCACACCCCTCATGCTCCTCCCACGCCCCTCATGCTCCTCCCACGCCCCTCATGCTCCTCCCACGCCCCTCATGCTCCTCCCACGCCCCTCATGCTCCTCCCACGCCCCTCCCACGCCCATCATGCTCCTCCCACGCCCCTCATGGTCCTCCCACGCCCCTCATGCTCCTCCCACGCCCCTCATGCTCCTCCCACGCCCCTCATGCTCCTCCCACGCCCCTCATGCTCCACCCACGCCCCTCATGCTCTTCCCACGCCCCTCATGCTCCTCCCACGCCCCTCACGCTCCTCCCACACCCCTCACGCTCCTCCCACGCCCCTCATGCTCCTCCCACGCCCCTCATGCTCCTCTCACGCCCCTCATGCTCCTCTCACGCCCCTCACGCTCCTCCCACGCCCCTCATGCTCCTCCCACGCCCCTTACGCCCCTCCCACGCCCCTCACGTCTCTCCCACGCTTCTCCCACGCCTTTCACGCCCCTCAAGCTCCTCCCACGCCTTTCACGCTCCTCCCACGTGTCATACACGTGTTTCCCGCGCTTACCCACGCGGGGCACGTTAATGCGCGCACTATATCATGCCTCCCACGACCCCCCCCCCCCACACACCTACCATGACGCCCCCCCACACACCTACCATGACGCCCCCCCCCCCACACACCTACCATGACGCCCCCCCACACACCTACTTCGCCCCCCCCACACACACCTACCATGACGCCCCCCCCCCACACACACACTCATACATTAGGGGCCTGCCGGCTGAGTGGACAGCTCTCGGTATTTGTAGTCATAGGGTCCGGGATCGATCCTCGGCGGAAGCGGAAACAAATGAGCAGGGTTTCTCTCACCCTTATGCCCTTGTTCACCTAGCAGTAAATAGGTACCTGGGAGTTAGACAGTTGGTACGCGCTGCTTCAAAAGGGGGGGGGGGGAGGGGAATCAGTTGATTGGTTGACAGTTGAGAGGCAGGCCTAAAGAACCAGAGCTCAACCCCCCCCCCCGCAAGCACAACTAGGTGAGTACACACACATCACGACTAGTGAATAGGACTTGGCAGTGGACAACACCAAACCTAACCTAACCTAACCTAACCTAACCTAACCTAACCTAACCTAACCTAACTCCAGAGGCTCGTATCAACAGAGTAACGTCAGCCGTATACTCCGGCAAAAGTCAGAACATCCTTCAGAAACCTAAGGAAGGAGGCGTTTAGATCACTGTATACCGCCTGTGTGAGGTCAGTCTTAGAGTACGCCGACCCATCCTGGAATCCGCATCTAAAAAAAAAAAACTCGTAATGAAGCTTGGAAAAGTACAGAAGTTTGCAACGAGAGTCGTCCCAGAGCTGCGAGGGATGAGGTACGAAGAGAGACTGAAGGAACTAAACCTGACGACGTTAGAAAAGAGAAGGTATAGGAGGGACATGATACAGACTTACAAAATACTTAGAGAGATTGACAGGGTGGAAACAGAGGAATTGTTTACAATGAATAACAATAGAACAAGGGGGCACGGATGAAAGCTTGAGACTCAGATGTGTCATAGAGATGTAAGAAAGTTTTCCTTTTGCACAAAGGTAGTGAGTAAATGGAATGACCTAAAGGAGCAGGCTGTAGAGGATAACTCCATTCATAACTACTTTAAAAGCAGGTATGATAAGGAAATAAGCCAGATGTCATTGTATTAAACAACCAATGACTAGAAAGTCCAAGAGCTAGAGCTCTGTCCTGCAGGCACAACTAGGTGAGTACACACACACACCACCCACCCCATGCCATATGAAATTAAAAAAACAAGTTTGGATCCATCCTAGTTCAGTTTATAATTTATTTACAATTATTAAATGATTAGTCTTTTTTTTGTTAGTTGTAACTGAATTAGTATTCTATTATTTTATTGCTGTGATGAGTTACGCTGATTTATTAGCGATGAGTTTAGTTTGGGGTTAATGTTGAATTATCCACTTGTTAGGGAATCTTGTCTTGTGCCTTGAAAGCGTTGACAGTCCAGTGGTTTACCGTCAGTCACTTGAAGGTAAACTTAGCAACAGCTGGTTTGATTAGTTTTTTTTGTTTCAGGATTATTGGATTTATTGACGTGAGTGGATTCAGTCATTTATTCATCTCTAATGTTTATAAAATTCAGTTTATTCTCCCTATACCCGCCCCCTTCTCCCCTCTCACCTTCCCTTCCCACTCACTTCCTCCTTCCCAGCCTCCCCCTCTCCCCTTTCCCCTTTCCCCTCCACCTTCCCATCCCTCACTTCCCTCTCCCCTGTTACAGTAGTGGCAGTTGTGTGAGATAATCGCCTGCGTGCTGTAATTACCATCCTTTCATGCCACTAAGGAAATGCTGCGAGGGTGGCATGCTGTGGCTGCAACATGCTGACTAACTCCCAGGTACCTATTTACTGCTAGGTGAACATGTACATCAGGGTGAAGGAAACTCTGCCCATTTGTTTCTGCCTCCATCGAACCCTGGATCTTAGGACTACGAGCCCCGGACGATGTCCACTCGGTCGGGAGGCCCTGTATGTGTGTACATGTGTAGGTGTGTGTGTGTGCATGTATGGGGGTGTGTGTGTACATGTGTGGGGTGCGTATGTGCATGTGTGGGTGCGTATGTGCATGTGTGGGGTGCGTGTGTATATGTATGGGGTGCGTGTGTGCATGTGTGGGGTGCGTGTGTACATGTGTGGGTACGTGTGTACATGTATGGGGTGCGTGTGTACATGTGTGGGGTGCGTGTGAACATGTGTGGGGTGCGTGTGTACATGTGTGGGGTGCGTGTGTACATGTGTGGGGAGCAAGGCAGGATGTCCTAACTCACTAAATACAGCTTTGGTCTGTATATTTAGTGGGCCACAGACACCTTGGCTGTTGCCTCACCCACTCCCATGTACACACCTGCTACCTCAGCCCTCTCCCCTCCCATGTACACACCTGCTGCCCTCAGCAGGTGTGTGTGCAGCTTCGTGCACAATAACCAGGTTTCCTGAAATGTTGGCGCTCTCAACAATTTTTAATGTGTTCTTAATTTAGATGGTTATCAGGTGTGTAGCTGAGGCAGGTGTGTAGCTGAGGTAGGTGTGTAGCTGAGGCATGTGTGTAGCTGAGGCAGGTGTGTAGCTGAGGCAGAGGTGTAGCTAAGGCAGGTGGTGTAGCTGAGGCAGGTGGTGTATCTGAGGCAGGTGGTGTAGCTGAGGCAGAGGTGTAGCTAAGGCAGGTGGTGTAGCTGAGGCAGGTGGTGTAGGTAAGGCAGAGGTGTAGCTGAGGGAGTGGTGTAGCTGAGGCAGGTGTGTAGCTGAGGCAGGTGTGTAGCTGAGGCAGGTATGTAACTGAAACAGTGGTGTAGCTGAGGCAGGTGTGTAGCTGAGACAGGTGTGTAACTGAGGCAGGTGTGGGCTTGGGTGAAGCCCCAATAGTTACCATCAGTATGTTCTGTTGAGTGCAAGCAACGGGGAATGACCTTCGTTGGAACAAAATTGATCATTAGTATAATTCTCTCATGTATTAACGGACTAAAACATTGTCTTGTAATATGTGAAATAAATTCAGATGAAAAATACAAATAGGTAGATTCAGGTTAATGAGGAACAATGGCGGTCGTACCATGACCCAGGCAGCATCCAGCATCCATGGCGATATCCAGCAGATATCGCCAGATATCTGCTGGATAATGTTGCAATTGCCAAATCTGAATGCACAAATAAAATGTCGGTGTCATTGGGTGCGTGCTGGGACAGCAGAACGACGCACTGCGTGGAGAGGGAGACGCACGCACACACACACACACACACACACACACACACACACACACACACACACACACACACACACACACACACACACACACACACACACACACACACGCACACCTCTCTCTCTCTCTCTCTCTCTCTCTCTCTCTCTCTCTCTCTCTCTCTCTCTCTCTCTCTCTCTCTCTCTCTCTCTCTCTCTCTCTCTCTCTCTCTCGGGGGGGGGGGGGGGACGTTCCTCTTGAACCGTTCCTTATCTCCATCAAAATCCTTGTTCGATCTGAAGACCGAACGGAGTGAGCTTTCTCCGAACCCCGTTCGGTTTGATGCTGGGCTTTTAGCCCATTAGCCTCTGTAGGGGTCATTAACGCCCACCACAGAGTTGAGACACCCTACATCTTCCTGTCTTCCGTCAATGGGTGCGTCTCCTGTCAATGGGCGTGTCTCCTGTCAATGGGCGTCTCTCACGTCAATGGACGTCTCTCCCGTCAATGGGTGTGGGGGAAGGGAAGAGCCCTATGTGTGAGGATTTTATTTGTTGTCAAATAAAGCCTCTTTACAGAAGGTTACAGGAAGCTCAGGTGGCGACACCCTGTATCCAGGTGGTGATACCCTGTATCCAGGTGGTGACACCCTGTATCCAGGTGGCGACACCCTGTATCCAGGTGGCGACACCCTGTATCCAGGTGGCGACACCCTGTATCCAGGTGGCGACGCCCTGTATCCAGGTGGTGACAGGTGGGACGAGCGTGTTGACGGCCCTATACTCCCCCCCCCTCACCCCCAACCCCCCACCCCCCAGACCTTGGCACCATATACAGATGGTACAATCCCCCCACCACTAACCACAATCCCACTACCACTAACCACAATCCCAGTCCCCTGAGAGCAATGCGTTGTGAGGTTACAACTATTACTGATTGGTTGTACTGTACCCTCATACAACCCCCTCTCAGCATACATGCGCCTGCACGCACGCACGTCTGCATCGACACACGCATATCCGTCTGTACGCACGCATGTCGACTATACACACACACACGCATAGCCGACTGTTGTGCGTGTAAAAATTCACATGCTCGCGTGTGCAATCACGTATTCCGCACACGCGCGCACACACACACACACACACACACACACACACACACACACACACACACACACACACACACACACACACACACACACACACGCACGCACACACATTCAAACGAACTTCCAAACATTCAGCACAGAACAATTCCACACACAAAAAACACTCGTCAACGCTGCATATTAAAATATTAATAAAAATAACTCATTGTATCCTGAATTTTGGTCGTCATAAATCATTGCCATTTAAAATAACTCACCGCATGACAGAATTAACCTTCTACCTCACCCCCAATAACTCATGGCATGCCAAGATAACCCAACACCCCGTAAGCAAGATAACATAGGATATCCAATGTTGCACCACAAAGCAATAAAATCCCTTCAAAGCACCGTAACGCAGCACAGTTCAAAGAAACATATGACACTGCAACGCAGAACGGAAAGAGATGGTTGCAGAAAGCAATACGGCACGCAATTTAGGGCTTCTGACGGGGCTCAGATGTGCCCAGAAATGCCCAGAAGTGCCCTGAGTAGCCTGCCTGGCTGGCTGTCTGCCTGGCTGCCTGGCTGCCTGCCTGGCTGGTTGGCTGGCTGGCTGGCTGGCTGGCTGGCTGACTGGCTACCTGGCTGCCTGGCTGCCTGGCTGGCTGGCTGGCTGGCTGGCTGGCTGGCTGACTGGCTGCCTGGCTGGCTGGCTGCCTGCCTGACTGGCTGGCTGTACGACAGCTCTTAAAACGTCCAATCTCTCTCGTGTACGAAACCTGTGGATCTTTCCTCAAATCACGGCGACTCTGTTTACTTTTATGAAGAAGTGAATGAGCTCCGAACCACTCTGAGGATCCTTATAACAACAGTAATCTTGGGTGGTGAAGTTTCCCCAGCTCGTAAACTGTTTAATAAATGTCAAGAAAACGGCCAGGATTAAAGGGAAGATATAGAGGTTTCGTCAGTCGTTGCGTGCGGGTTTGATGATTGCTGGCCCAGACAACCATCTGGGAAGAGTGGTCAGTGATTGCAATGGTAGTAGTAGTAGTAGTAGTTAACAGGTAGTCAGCAAGTCAACAGGTAATTAGCAGGTCAATAGATAATTAGCAGGTCAATGGGTAATTATCAAGTGAACATGTAATTATCATGTCAACATGTAATTAGCATGTCAACAGGTAATTAGCATGTCAACAGGTAATTAGCATGTCTACAGGTAATTAGCAGTCAACAGGTAATTAATAGGTCAACAGGTAATTATCAGGTCAACAGGTAATTAGCAGGTCAACAGGTAATTAGCAGGTCAACAGGTAATTAGCAGGTCAACAGGTAATTAGCAGGTCAACAGTAATGTACTCGTCATTATGGGAGGTTGAAGAGTAGCTCATGAGCCAACCACCCGTTGATACGACAACCGTTGTTTGCTACCCCTGTTGTTTCATCACCCGTTGGCCCCTGTTCATGCCTCGTCCTTATGAAGAAGTCTGCATAAGACTTGGAGATCAGGTGACCTCTGACCTGCAGGTGACCTTTGACCTGCAGGTGACCCCTGACCTGCAGGTGACCTTTGACCTGCAGGTGACCCCTGACCTGCAGATTACCTCTGACCTGCAGGTGACCCCTGACCTGCAAGTGACCCCTGACCTGCAGGTGACCCCTGACCTGCAGGTGACCCCTGACCTGCAGGTGACCCTCTGACCTGCAGGTGACCCCTGACCTGCAGGTGACCCCTGACCTGCAGGTGACCCTCTGACCTGCAGGTGACCCCTGACCTGCAGGTGACCCCTGACCTGCAGGTGACCCCTGACCTGCAGGAGACCCTCTGACCTGCAGGTGACCCCTGACCTGCAGGTGACCTTCCTGACCTGCAGGTGACCCCTGACCTGCAGGTGACCCCCCTGACCTGCAGGTGACCCCTGACCTGCAGGTGGCCCCCGACCTGCAGGTGATCTCTGACCTGCAGGTGACCCCTGACCTGCAGGTGACCACTGACCTGCAGGTGACCCCTGACCTGCAGGTGACCCCTCTGACCTGCAGGTGACCCCTGACGTGCAGGTGACCCCTGACGTGCAGGTGACCCCTGACCTGCAGGTGACCCTCTGACCTGCAGGTGACCCCTGGCCTGCAGGTGACCCCTGACCTGCAGGTGACCCCTGACCTGCAGGTGACCCCCCTTACCTGCAGGTGACCCCTGACCTGCAGGTGGCCCCCGACCTGCAGGTGATCTCTGACCTGCAGGTGACCCCTGACCTGCAGGTGACCCCTGACCTGCAGGTGGCCCCTGACCTGCAGGTCAGAGAACGCAGGTCGGCGTTCAATCCCCGACCGTCCAAGTGGTTGGGTACCATTCCTTTTCCCCCCGTCCCATCCCAAATCCTAATCCTGACCCCTTCCCAGTGCTATATAGTCGTAATGGCTTGGCGCTTTCCCTTGATAACTCCGTTCCGTTCTCCGCTCTCTCTGATTCGTCAGTGCTACGCTATCCAGGATATTTCGACCAATCCCAGAGTGCCACTTGTGACCTGCATCTCATTGGCTGAAACACCTGAGCAACGGAAATCAAGTTTCCGGAACGAGGTAGCGAGTCGCCATATTTTTAAGTATAAATTTTAACAACCATGAAATACTTTGTGGATCTTATCATATGTGTTAACCAATTAAAAGCTAAATGCTTCTAATTTATGTATAATTTGTACAACTCTTAGAGCTGTTAGTTGTAGGCAAGTACACCAGAGGGCCAGCCGGGGCCAGATTCACGGAGCAGTTACGCAAGCACTTAAGAACCTGTACATCTTTTGAAAGGACCACATACTAGAAGGCGAAGGGACGACGACGTTTCGGTCCGTCCTGGACCATTCTCAAGTTGATTGTGACAATCGACTTGAGAATGGTCCAGGACGGACCGAAACGTCGTCGTCCCTTCACCTTCTAGTGTGTGGTCTGGTGAAATTACTTCAGCCACGTTATTGTGACTCATCGCCTGTACATCTTTTCTCAATCTATGCGGCTTGGTTTACAATTATTAAACAGTTAATGAGCTCCGAAGCACCAGGAGGCTGTTTATAACAATAACAACAGATGATTGGGAAGTTTTCATGCTTGTAAACTATTTAATAAATGTAACCAAAGCCGTCAAAGATTGGGGGAAAGATGTACACGTTCGTAAGTACTTGCGTAACTGCTTCGTGAATCCGGCCCCTGGAGACTACTGGAACCCAGTCACGCTTAAAGTTAATCGCGAGCACACGCAACTCTGCAGAATAGCGCCTTTGGCCATTAGGGAGGGAGGGGGGGGGGAAGGGGGGGGTGAGGTGAAGGAATGTGACGTCACCAACTGGCATTCTCTGCCCACCTCTGGCACTTCCAGCTGGCAATATTAGCTGTGTGGCACTCAGCCAGCATCCTACGTTCCGAGCTGTCCTGTTTAGTGCCACCTGCAGCACGTGTCTGGCTCCCAGCTGGACTTGTCATCACCACAGGTGGTGCTCGAGCAGCTCGCAGGTGGTGCCTTCAACACTACGTGTAGCACACGGCGCAGCTGGTCACGTTTCTCAGCTGGTGTCCTCGGTGATGCCTGGGTCCCTCTCCCGGACTGGTGCCACGCTATTAGTTGGCACTCTGTCACATTTGGCACCTGCCAACTACCTCGCTACTGGCTGCCACCTTCAGCACCACCTGTCGATCACAAATATCTTTCCCTCGGGCACTGCGTGGCACTCTCTCTCAGCTAACTGTACAAGGCTCCTCCCGAGCACTCTTACCAACCAGCTGTGACACCGTGCCAGCTGCTGCCGGCCACAGCCGGCACATTCCAACTCGGTGGCACCCGGCTTGCTGACCCACACGAACAGCTGGCATTTTGATCCAGCTGTGGCACTAGGCCAGATAACCATCATGCCTTAAATTTCAGAAAGTTCATTGGGACGTCTATTTTCGGAGAATACATAGTTTTAAAGCGTGTCAAAGGCAGTGATACTGAATTAGAGGGGGGGGGAGGATGCTGAATGAGGGGGGGGGAGGATGCTGAATGAGGGGGGGGGAGGGGGCACAGGGGAAATGAGAGGGGTGAGGAAATGAGGAGTAACGTCATGGCCTAGTTTCAGGTATTGAACAGGTGCCAATAATCCCCCCCCCCCTACACACACAGTCAGGTATTGGCACCTATGACCTCTGACCCCCTTGAACAGTCCAGCTGTAATTGGTACGACCTTCTTTACTGACAGGCGACTCCTGTCTATAGCTACTAGGAAGGGGAAGGGTTGAATCGTAGGGAAGGGGGGAGGGGGGGAGCATGGTACAAAGGTGAGGGGGGGTGATTAGAGGTCAACTATGAGGTTGACTAGAGAGGAGGAGAAGAATGGGGGGGGGGGGAAGAGAGAGGTGTGAGGGAGGGGAGAAGAGGAGGGAGGAGGAGGAGGAGGTGGTGTGTAGGAATCATCTTTCTGGGGTTTGCTACGAGACAGACAGACAGACAGACAGACAGACATATGAACCGTTATACAGAGATACTAACACATAAACACACACACACACACACACACACACACACACACACACACACACACACACACACACACACACACACACACACACAGGGGCGAGGGGTATGGGGTAAGGGGTAAGGGGCGAGAAGTCGGACTGGCGAACAGTAACAAGTGGAG